TTATATTTGTAACTGTATCGAGAAAAGTTGGAAATTATTTTTTTCATTTTTTCTCCCCCCTTTTTCATTTATTCCTTGTACTTTGCCCTTCTCTATCTTTTTTCTAAAATTTTATATTTTTTAAAATATTTTAATTTAATAATGTACAATTTAAGAATGTACAATTAAAAATAGAAAAGTCAAAAAAACACCCGCTATTTCAGATGAGAGAAAAGAATATATTTTTTATATTTCTTAGGATGCATAGGTATGAAGAATGTTTTAATGACTTAACAAGCATCTTATAACAAGTACTAATAATGTAACTAATTTTACAGTGCTGAGAGCAAGTAAAAAGAGTGTGTGTGTGTGTTTGCGTGCATGTGTGTGTGTACAAACAGTAAAATTAACAGTATAATGATGAAGGAACGGAAATGTATGCAGAAGCACATCTAAACATGAAGACCAAGAAGAGCAATAAAGTATATAGCAATGTATACATCTTTCTATGTAAAGCATAGATATAATGCTTTATCTGGAAATTGACTAGGAAAAAAGGAGTTTATCTACATTCTTGGAGATTACTGTCTAGCTCATGAGAGTTTATTTAGCCACCCAATTTCTGTATCTCAATAGGACTACACTTGTCTCTAATCTGAATACTTTCCAATGCTCTACAAGAAATCAACCATATAATAATCATCAACAGAGAAAAGTATGACCTTTTCAAGGGTCCACAGAAGTTTTCTCATTTTCAAAGTCCAACTGTCCAAGCTTTAGTTCAGACTTACCAACTCAAGGTTCTGTCGGTTGCCATAGGCAGCTGCGTAATGGACAGCAGTGTATCCCTGTTTGTCTCGGAGAGAGGGGTCAGCACCATTATCCAGTAAGAACTCTAAACAACTGGAATAAATATAATTCAATGAACCCAAGCATCAGATGCATATAAAAGCTCTAAAAATTCTGTGGAAATCCAGATTTGTTATGGTCACTATATCATAAACCCCATTCACAATAAAGAAGACACAGTAGCTCCTTCCATGTAATAAGGAAACATGAAGAAGAAGAAGGAGGAGGAGGAGGAGGAGGAGGAGGAGGAGGAGGAGGAGGAGGAGGAGGAAGAGACTGTGTTTTCTCTTATATTGCATATAAAACACAGATGATTTCCTGTTTTGTAGCAAATTACTACATGGACACTTAACAAAAATCCATTCAAGAAAAATGTGAGGCGTGTGTCTGCACACATATCGAGCATTTATAAAAAAAAGAATCTGTTTAGGATTGCTTTGTAAGTTGAGGAAGGAAAGAACATCTGGAGAGCTCATTTTCTATCCCTACTTAACACAAGCTGAATGCTGAACAATGTGGGTTACTTTGATGGAATCTCGAGAAGATGAATGTTCTCTAACATAAAACATCAATGTGTTGCAGTAAAAGTAACGTGGAGAAAAGAAATAACCAAGTTTATTCAACGAATAACAAAGAGAGTTCGGATGAGCTACTCACAAGATGGCCTCCTTCAGTCGTGACTCTTTCAGTGGCTCTTCATCAGTGTCATGGCTGTTTCCTGAATGAGTCTCAGCTCTGCAAGAACAGAAATCTAGATTAGTTTTGCCAACATACACAGAATGTGTGTATGTGTTATTTCATGGGTAGGCAATTGATTTTCTCAAGGGACCACATGAGAAACTGAGACTGTTATGGGAGGCCCCCACCCTGCCACTGCTGCCACCCCACCCTGCCAACCCCTCAACCGCACTGATGCCCTGCTGCTGCCACTGTGGGATGGATTGGGGCTGCTTGGAGGCTAGATGTGGTCTGTGGGCCGTAAAATGCCCAGGTCTACATTATCCAGTAAAACTCTGCGTTTTAGAATCTATTGCAAAAATTATTCTATAATAATCAGATATGAGAATATGTTAAATATATAATAGATCAGGACTGATGACCACAATAGTTTAATGGATTACTAAACTGCACCCTTCACGTAGATGAATTGCGCCAAAAATTAAGAGTTACCCAAATGAGATTAAACTAACCCCCGGGCAATGAGACAGAAGTTTATCATCGGCTTCTGCCTTCCTTACTATACAAGGAAAAGGCTTGCGGACATTAAGTTGGTGTATACACTCCAAGAAACACAGTGAGAATCAAGGCTGACCTTTCTTTGAATAGTTTAAAGTGTATCTTAATAGCAGGAAGTCTAGTCATAACAGCCTCAAACTTATTTTATTTTTAAGCAGCAGTAATTTAGAGCTTGATTTAGATTTCAGAGTTTAGACTTCTAAACATATTAATAAGTGAGACTACAGGCATTATATTTCAGGCAGATGGAAAACTGAAGACCTCCTTTACTCTAAGTAGCTCAGTAAGAACATATACACTGATTCCTTGATTCACAGTATTTCTTAGTAAGGGCTTTTGTGTTGAATTGTTTCCCCAATCCTACCTATTTCCAGGTGCCAGGAAACAGAGTAAGATAATTCCACAGAAGGATTCTCTGATAAGAAAATTGAAACTAATTGCACCCAGGTAAGGCATATCCTTTTCTTTTTTTCTCCCTACCTCCTGTAAGTGTCTGAAGCAGCAGCATAATGCAAGGGGGTGCAGCCTTTACAGTCAGCTTCATTAATACTGGCTCCGGCAGTGACTAGTGTCACCGTACACTGATAGCTGCCATTCGCGGCTGCATAGTGCAAAGGAGTCCTGGATTAAAAAAAAAAGCAGGAAAGGGAGTTTCAGATACTGTTCCTATGTGACATATAAGAAGGTTACACCAGTTCACCAACGCAGTGGCAGTTCATGATCCAGATTAGAAGACAACAGGGCCAGATTGAAGCAGCTACTCAAACAAGTCTAGCCAAGTAACAAATTGAAGGAATGAGAAGTCTGAATCCTCTTCATTGCTTTTAAAACTGCTCTGATACAAAAAAAGCATTGCACAATTGTATAGTTTTATTCTCAGAGCAATCTTTACAGATTGTTCTACAAATGCCATTTTAACAGATCCAGAATTCAGTCTATGAGTCAAGAGGGACTTAAATTCCAGTCCTGCCACCTTTAAAGCAGACATGACATCCCAAAATTGCCATGGCTGCTACCATTGTGTTACACCAGCAAACTAAAAAGCAACATACAAGACAGTATTACCCCAAATTCAATTATCCAACTCCCAAAAGCATAGCACTGAGGGTCAACCAGGTAGAAAAATACATGTAAGTGAGCACCTCAATCTCAGTACCAATTTAACAGAACCACTTATATCAGGGGTGACAAACTGCCGGCCCGTGGGCCGGACGCATCATCCGGAAGCCGTGCCCACCCCATTGCCGGCAATGGCAAAACTGTCCCGATACGTTGCGCGATGTCATGTGACGTCGCGAGTTTGACATGTCTGACTTATGCCTCTAAATTCATTCTCAAAGAGGCCTAGCACATGGCCTTTTAATCTTGGACATTTCTTTCTCACCCAGGGTCTCAAAGAGACCATGTTCTATATTTACCTTCCAAACTTATCTCTCCTCCTCAAGTCAGCTCCGCTGCTCAACAGCAAGTTAAGACATTCAACATTCCTATAGAGAAGCCAAAGGGTAAAGAAGATATCTCTGAATAACATTGTGGGTTTTTTCCCCAGATGAAATGATAGGCTGAGAATTTGTCTCAGTTCCAAATGTAGAATGATAACCCAACAAATGCCCTCCATGTACCAGTTGTGCCCAGTCTAGAAGGGAAAGGTGGAGATGGAGAAAGATGCCAGCTGCATTTCTTAGTCTTTTACTGCATGATGTAGTAACAGTGGAAGATGATATGGCATGGGGAAATTAATTTACCTCTCCGAAAGGCAATGCAATATTAATTAATATTACTGTATGCAAATAAAGATTAATCTAATATTTGCTTTGCTCACAGAGAATTGTCTCCACTTGATTACAGTAGTATTCCAAGAATTCGTTATTCTCCAAATCTATTTTTCTCCAACTGGACAGAAATGGTCAACCCCATACAGATGCTCTTCTAGAGATACTACTTGATGGTCGTAAAATGGATCGTCCATGTCACTGACCCAATTTTGCAACCTTTTTTGCAACAGTCGTTAAAGCGAACCAAATGTTTGCTAGAGATTGGTTTTGCAGAAAATGTTATAAAATTGGTGATGTTTCTGTGAGATGCTGCAAACAGCCATAAATGTGGGCCATTGGCCGAGTGGCTGAAATGAGGTCATGTGATGGGGGGCGAAGCCATCAGGACTTTGAAACTGGGTCATAAATATCCCCGGGGGTGGTTCATCGTAACTCTGAACGGTGGCTAAGCAATCAGTCGTAAGTCAAGGACTACCTGTATTTTAACTGTCCTTTCTCTTAATTTAAACATAATAAGAGTGGGAATCTTTCTTTCAGAGTTATCCTAAGGAATGTCTTGCCACATAACAATGAATTAATTGCTCACCCTCCGGAAGCAGCAGCATGGAGGCAGGTCCTCCCGAGGTTATCTGGCGTATTGATATCAAAGCCTGCAGACAGCACATGCTCATTGCTGAGTGAGGAGACAATGCTGTACAACTGACCTGAGAATCAGAAGAAAATGCGTGGTGACTAGTAAATGGGATTAATTTACTGTGACTCTGCCGCAGATACCATGGAAATTATAATTCTGGAATTAAGCTTACTGAAATTATCAATCAACCTTTTCTATATAGAGGAAAGCCAGGCTTCATACACACATATTATGCTAGTCCCTTTGGAGATAAAAAAAAATGTAATGGAAAACATAGAAAGGTATAGTAAGCTAAAAAAATAAAATGTAGGAGATAAGGAAAGGAAATATAAATGATTTAATTTCTACCAATACTGTTTCCAATCTCTCTCCATAGCTTTCTGTTCTTGTAAACCATTCTCACTTTCCCCCTGTAGGCTATTTCATATATTTTCTTGTGTTTCTTAAACTTTCTACCTTTCTTGTTATGATCTCATCAATTCCATCCAACCAGAACTGTTTCCATCTTCCTCTTCCTCTCAGTCTATTTGGTTTTTGATTCAATCCCCATTTATTTTCTCCACATAACCCAATCACTTTAACCTATTTCTTTTAGTGCTAATTAAATCAACACAACTTTTCTTTAGGCTACTTTTTTTTTTTTACACCAGGGGATTACACTGGGCCTTTAAATGATAAATCAGATGCTGGATTGTAAAACGTATCAGGCTAGGAAAAATGTGAATGCTATTTAATGCCTATTTATACTTATTTTTAATTATTAATTTTAATAAATGCAGTTAACTATATACTTACCCCTTCCATCATACTAAACACTATAATTTGGATGCAATTTTGATTGGGGATTTTGCTGGTCATATGCAAAAGTTAGAGTCCCTCTGCAGCCTTGAAGCTGTATAGGCTTACACCTTGAATTTAGATTCTTGCTAAAAATGCTGAACATTTGCCAACTGCTAGGTAATAAATTCAAGCCAATTCCTATTTTTTTAAGCATTCACAGTTGGCTTGCTCTGAATTCAGCCAGATGTAGAAAAAAGGCTGTCTCCTTAGGAACCAACCACCCCCCCAGTCCAACACAAAACTTACCTGAGGAAAGTAGCTTACGACAACAGTCTGAGAATCCGAAGAGAACAGCTAAGTGCAGAGGGAACATGTCATGGATCCCACGCCTGAAAGAATAAAAGATCAAAACATGATAGTACACAAGGCCAAGGCTACAAACAGAGTAGGAACAAAGTGATCTCCACCCCCACATAGGCACNCTGTAGGCTATTTCATATATTGTCTTGTGTTCCTTAAACTTTCTACCTTTCTTTTTATGATCTCATCAATTCCATCCAACCAGAACTTTTTCCATCTTCCTCTTCCTCTCAGTCTATTTGGTTTTTGATTCAATCCCCATATATTTTCTCCACATAACCCAATCACTTTAACCTATTTCTTTTAGTGCTAATTAAATCAACACAACTTTTCTTTAGGCTACTTTTTTTTTTTACACTAGGGGATTACACTGGGCCTTTAAATGATAAATCAGATGCTGGATTGTAAAAAGTATCAGGCTAGGATAAAAAGTGAATGCTATTTAATGCCTATTTATATTTATTTTTAACTATTAATTTTAATAAATGCAGTTAACTATATACTTACCCCTTCCATTATACTAAACACTATAATTTGGTGCAATTTCGATAGGGGATTTTGCTGGTCATATGCAAAAGTTAGAGTCCCTCTGCAGCCTTGAAGCTATAGGACAGTGATGGTGAACCTTTTAGAGATCGAGTGCCCAATCTGCAACCCAAAACCCACTTATTTATCGCCAGGTGCCAGATGGGCGTGGCCCACGGAATGGGCATGGCTGTGGTGGTCATGGCAGATTGGGTGGGTGTGGCCAATGTGGGTGTAATCACCTCGATGTTGCTCGTGGGGAGGGACATCTGTGGGGGCCGGAGAGGGTTGGGGGAGATCCAGGGGGTCTCTGGCAGGTGGGGCGGTGGGAAGGAGGCTCGTCCTGTGGGGTGAGGCGAGGGAAGGCAAGGCAGGGCAGGGGTGCCATTGTCACAGGGAAAGGTGAGGCAGGGGCCGGGGTGGCTGCTGCCTGATACCATCGGCCCCTGCACACGGAGGCCAGCGAGTGCATGGGTGCTGGGATGCATCCGGCCATGTGGGACCTCAGCGAGTTAGCGGGCAGCTGATTGAAGAGGGACGGTTGCCATCTCTGGGGCATGACGCGCGTGCCCACAGAGAGGGCTCTGAGTGCCACCTCTGGCCCGCGTGCCATAGGTTCGCCACCACTGCTATAGGCTTACACCTTGAGTTTAGATTCTTGCTAAAAATGCTGAACATTTGCCAACTGCTAGGTAATAAATTCAAGCCAATTCCTATTTTTTTAAGCATTCACAGTTGGCTTGCTCTGAATTCAGCCACATGTAGAAAAAAGGCTGTCTCCTTAGGAACCAACCCCTCCCCCAGTCCAACACAAAACTTACCTGAGGAAAGTAGCTTACGACAACAGTCTGAGAATCCGAAGAGAACAGCTAAGTGCAGAGGGAACATGTCATGGATCCCACGCCTGAAAGAATAAAAGATCAAAACATGATAGTACACAAGGCCAAGGCTACAAACAGAGTAGGAACAAAGTGATCTCCACCCCCACATAGGCACNAGCATTGTGGTAGCGATTAGCAGCCAGATGATGGAATTCTGGCCTGCACCATCTTTCCAGATAAAGGGGAGACATGAGATTGCCCACTTGCACTCCAGAATGCTGCAGGAACAAAGGTATTCGTGGTCAACTTGTGAGTTGAATGCTTGGGAATTGAGAGATTCCAATCTAGCTCACAGCTATGATGCAGCCTATGTGGACACAACATTTGCACAAACTTTTTAAAGCCCTTTTGGGATGTAACTAATTTATATCTAAAGAGAGATTTTCTGAGTAACAGGATAGGAGAAGTCCACTTGGTGAGTCAACATTCTTTCTGGACCAAAAAGGGAAAATAATGGTTTTAAAAATTTAAAATTGGTATAATGGTGTATCAAATATGCAGTATGTTGGAAATTTAATCAATCCAAAGGGAACTTCTATCACTTTTGATGGACATATTAAAAAAAAATAAGAGTTAATGAGATCGGATAGGTATTTTAATTCAGAATATTTTTTTAAAATAAGTGTAAAATTGAAACCAGATTTCTTTTTTCTAGGCATGTTGGATAAGCAGTTGGGGGAGAAACAGGGGACTATGTTTTTATATATGATAATAGCAGAGAGACATTTGCATGCAGAGATGGAAAGATCTACAAATTCCCACAATGGAGGAATGGATGGTGAAATGGAATTGGTGAGGTGACAAAACTAACTACGAAAAGACAATGTCTAGTTTTGTTTCTACATGGAAACTACTTTTAGACTTTTTGCTTGACACCAAAAGAAATGCTATATTAGTTCTTGATTAGAATTATGATTACAGAAATGCTGTGTATTACTGAATTTCAGATCAAAAGGTTAATGTATTTTATATTTGTAACTGTATCGAGAAAAGTTGGAAATTATTTTTTTCATTTTTTCTCCCCCCTTTTTCATTTATTCCTTGTACTTTGCCCTTCTCTATCTTTTTTCTAAAATTTTATATTTTTTAAAATATTTTAATTTAATAATGTACAATTTAAGAATGTACAATTAAAAATAGAAAAGTCAAAAAAACACCCGCTATT